GGGCTGGGGATTCGAACCCGCCACCTTAGGTGTACGTGGCTGGCGCCCTAGCCGGCTGAGCTACAGGCGCCGAGCCCCCAGGCTGGATTTGAACCCACCACCTTAGGTGTATGTGGCTGGCGCCTTGGCCTCTTGAGCCACAGGTGCCGAGCCAGTTTTGTTAGTTTTATGGATGAAAAATATTACATTGTTTTAATATGCAGATTTCCCTCAGCAATGGAAAGGTTGAGAACAAGTCGCATGCTTTTAAAAAAAAATAAAAAAGTATGGCTCAGTGCCCGTAACTCAGTGGTTAGGGCGCTGGCCACATACATCAGGGCCGGCAGGTTTGAACCCGGCCCAGGCCTACTAAACAACAATGACAACTACAAAAAAATAGCCAGGCCTTGTGGCAGGTGCCTGTAGTCCCAGCTGCTTGGGAGGCTGAGGCAAGAGAATTACTTAAGCCCAAGAGTTTGAAATTGCTGCAAGCTGTGATGCTACAGCACTCTACCAGGGGTGATGTAGTGAGACTTTGTCTCAAAAAATAAAATAAAAATGAAAACTTTAAAAATACAAAGTAGAAAACATCTAGAAAAGAAAATAAACATTTTAGGTTGGGCACCATAGCTCATACCTGAAGTCCTAGCACTTTGGGAGGCTATAGGTGGGAGCATCATTTGAGGCCAGGAGTTCAGGTTTATAGTGAGCCATGATTGCAACGCTGTACTCCAGCCTGGTCAATAGAATGAAACCTTGTCTCTTAAATACAGTATATGTACATTAAATAAAAAACAAATCACCGTTAATCTCAAAAGCCAGTTATAACCTGTTGCTATTTTTGATAGGTACATTTGCAGATGTCTGCTTTTTGTTTGGGGATTTTTTTGTTTGTTTGTTTGTTTTTTATGAACTGTGATTATTTCTCTTCCTGAATATCTTTCCATCTTTCCAATGGATTTTAATCCTGGTCCCGCCCTGTGTGTTGTGACCAGTCACTTCATCCCATTAGGTCTTGGTCTCCTTACCTATGGACTAGGGATGATACACCTTGTCCTACATGCCTCTGAAAAGTCCTTGGGAGGAAGGACATGTTCTATGCTCTATAAGCAGGAGTGGTATAATTATAGTAATTAACTGTTTAATATATTGAAGTCACAGAATCGTGGGATGGGATGACTGATCAGGTGCCTCTCATCCTCTGCCCTACAGCTGGTGGGTGCTGGTCAGCTACGGAGTCCTCTTGGTCACCCTGGGAGCCTTCATCTTCGGCCAGACCACAGCCAACGCCATCTTTGTGGATGTCTTGGCATAACCACTGCCTCTCAGGGAACACAAGGCCTTTGTCATTGGACCTAGAAACCCATCTCTTAGAGCTGTGGGAGTACTCTATCTCCACCATAGTTCCAACTGGTAGGATGACATCTGGACATCCTTCTCCTGGAACAGCTCTGGGGTAAAATCAGGCCCCACAACTTTAGGCATCTCAAATCCAGCTGTCTTCTACTTCCCAGTCCTGGCAATGTCATGGGTGGTGGCAGGAGGTCTCCTGTCACAGAGGAACCTTTCTCCTCTCCTAGCTCTCAGCTTCTTCATGCCTGGAACCCATGATGAAGAGGACAGTGGGTCTCAGAAGAGAGACCTCAGTCTGACTTCCCTCTGGTCATGGGTTATAGACAAAAGGTCACTGTCCTTCACAGAGCAGCTTGTCCTGAATAGGGGCTGTGCTGATTAACTGGGGCCAGCGGTGGCTTCCTCTAGGATCTAGCAATGTCCAAAGTCATATGGAAAGGCAGAGGCAGGTGGATTCAGGCCTGGTCCACTCCATATCGGGAGTTCCACCCTGTTTCTTTCTCCAAACCTGATGGTCCAGGCTGGGTATCCCTGTCCCCCTCCTCCCCAGGCATCACCAAGTCTAATGTTTACAAACAGTGCCAGCCCGGCTCTGAAGCCAGGGGCCGTCACGTGCCACGGTGCTGTGAGTATTCTTCCATTAACTTTCCCCACGGAGTTGATGGGGGAGTCTGCTTTTCTCAGATTCCAGACGGGTCCCTTTTTACAGAGGCTCCAGGGTGGGTGATAGAGAAAGCTGGGAACCTGTCAAACCTTCCAGGCAAGCTGGACTGGCCAGGATCAAGGTGAACCTCTTTAACACCTTCTTCAGTGACTGCTTTTCTTCTCCCTTCCTTCCTCCCTCCCTCCTCCCCTGCCAAATCTAGCCTGATAACCCAGAGAGAAGAAAGGCAGCTGGGTTGTCACTGATGGGCAACATTTCAGCCTGTCACGCTGGCCTGGAAGTTTCTCTTCTAATCTGGATCTCGTCTGTTCCTTTCTTCTCCCTCTTAACTTCCCTACCCCAGTGCTCTGTGTAGCTAAGTCTCCCACTCACCTAAGTTGGAAGCTGAAGACAACAAATCCTCTCACAACTTCCTCGGCACCATACGTCTGTTAGTCCTGGCCTTCACAGCCTTTTAGTCACATTGAGGTCACACCTGGATGTTATTCCTAGCAAGGTGAAGACAAACACTGTACCCCCCATACTCCTGCTGCCCCTCAGCTCATTTTGGCCAATCCCAGGCACCAATCCAGGCTTCCTCTTCCACCTGGATGCCCAGCATTTCCTTGGCCCTCCTGCCAAAATCTGTATACTAGGGGTGCCCTGAAGCCCACCACTCAGGGCAGTCCAATCTAAGAAGCAGTGGCTGGTTGGGGGCCGGTTAGGGTTCTGCTTGGTCTCTGGACGAGATGAACTGCCTTTTCTCATAACCCATCTTGGTGCCTGATCATCTCTGCCCCTGGGGCCAGGTTTTCCTGCATAGCACCAGGCCCTGCCAGCCCCCATCCCTGACAAGGCTAGGAGGACAACCTAGTGGTAGCACTGACTGCACAGTCTCCTGGCACTGTGTTTCAGGGGTGGGAGGATGAGAGGGGAGTCGTTGCACAGAGAGACCATCAGAAAAAGGAGCTGGAATCTCACCTCTTGGCTAACCTCAGGGCCTCCCCCCAACTCCCCACCATCCTTTCCTCTGTCTTCTCTGTCTGGATAGTTTCACTGTTTATTTTCTACTTGTGCACACTTGGAAAAGGGAAGATGGTTAATAAAAGGGACTTGTGCTGCTGAGCTATGTCCCTTGTGTCTGCTGCTGGGGACAGACTCCAAGCCACTGCCAGGAGGAAGAAGGGCTGGGGGTGGGAAGTATAAATGGCACGTCATCATCCAGAAACGACCCTCATTTCTGGACTGGCACCACCGTGCTCCTACTGAGCGGAAATCCTCAAACGCCTCTTGCTACCTCACTTTCTTCGACGCCCTATCAGTCCTCCCTCACTGACTTGGGAATGTGACTCAGTCTCCAGTCTTGCTACCTCTGCCTTTACTGAAGTCCCCTCTGTGTCTTTCCTGCACCTCCATGGCCTCACACTGGCCCCCTGATCTTAAATCTTAGAGTGAGCTTCAAACTCCTCAGCATCACCCCCATCTTATCAGAGGCATGTGCAAAGCAGGTCCTTACTGTCCTGATTACAGAGCCAATCAGACATGCTCAGTGCTGGTAAGAAAGTGATCAGTGTGGTTTGGGGAAGACTGATGCCAAGCAAGTAGTATATGCACAGTATCTACTTGGAAGCTGTGGTGAGTGCCAAGAAAAGAAAGTAGAGTGTGTTACATTTGGGGCCTTGTCTGGGACTCAAGAAAGACTTCCTAGAGGAGGTGATGTTTCAGTTGGCCCATGGATGATGAGTAGGAATTAACTAAGTGAAGAGAGCTCAGACCTTTCCACGCCATGGGAATTGCACATACAAAGGCCCTGAAGTAGGAAGAACATGGCTTGAGGAACTGAGCAGTGGCCAGTGTAGATAGAGAGCATTGCCTAAGTGTGGGACAGAAGTAGAGGGGAGACCTGAGAGTTCTGGGAAAGTCTTCGGTGGCTCTATTGTGCCCTTAGAGTCAAGTCTGACCAGCTCATTTCCCACCACACCTCTCTACTCTGCTTCAGTCATATTCACATGAGGGTAAGCCCCCCCCCCCCATTCAAAAGAGACTCACCTTCAAGGGAGGAAATGTTTCAAATAGGCTTGAGGGATAGGATGGGATATGAGCAATGGTTCACACCTGACTAGCAGTCCAAGAGCTAGAGCAGCGGTTCTCAACCTGTGGGTCATGACCCCTTTGTAACAATGAAAATACGTCCTGCATATCAGATATTTATATTACAATTCATAACAGTAGCAAAATTACAGTTATGAAGTAGCAACGAAAATTTTATGTTTGGGGGTCACCACAACATGAAGAACTGGATTAAAGGGTCACAGCATTAGGAAGGTTGAGAACCACTGAGCTGGAGGTTGGGTTTCACTTTCTCTGAACAAAAGTAGATGACAAAGGCACAGTCACATGTAAACAGCCAGATGTATCCATTTTGAACGTTTTACTCAAGACATACCCAGCCTAATGCTTCACATATGTGTAAGCACTGGATCAATGTCTGTGTCCCACATTAGACTGTAAGCTCCGTGGGCTAGGCCCATGTCTTTTCTATCCACCAGGGATCTTAGCCAATGCCCAGCACATAGTAGCAGGTCCTCAGTTTTTGAAGGCAGGTCATGGTGGCTCACATCCGTAATCCTAGCACTTTGGGGAGCTACGGCAGGAAGATTATTTGAGCCCAAGAGTGTGAAGTGACAGCTATGATGATGCCCGGGCAAGAGAGCAAAAACCTGTTTCAAACTTTTTTTTTAAGTAAAAAAATAATTAGCCATGGGGCGGCACCTTTGACTCAAAGGAGTAGGGCACCGGCCCCATATGCTGGAGGTAGCAGGTTCAAACCCAGCCTCAGCCAAAAACTGCAAAAAGAAAAAAAATGTTTTTAAAAAATGATTAAAAATAATTTTTATCAGTAGCTTGCTTGTAGTATTAGCTACTTGGGACTCTGATGACTCTGCTGCCACTTGGTGCACCTGAATGTGACACCCCTGTGGTAGGGCTGGGCCACCTGTAAGTTACAGCCTCCAATCTGGTAGGAGAATCAGACCAATCCAATAATCACAGATACTTATTGAGTAGGTGCATGTGCTAGATGTACATACAGATATTACAACCCCTGATTTGATACTTCCTAAGTACGACACACAAAAAATGTCAGGAGGTATGGAAGAAGGCAAATACTGCCCTCCAAACAGGCCCAAGATTAATCTGTATAATTCCTTTTTTTTTGTATAATCACTGCTCAATTAAAAACAAAATTGAGGCATTAGTTAAGAGAATGCTACAGATAAACCCCAATTCCTAGTGGCTTAACACAATAAATGTTTATAACGCAGGGGGTCCTGAGCAGTCTAAGATGGGGGGAAAGCTTGGGGCTGGCAGGTGGTAGGTTGTCGAAAGTTTTCAGACAGTGATTGACTCCTGGAGGGAATACTGCCCACCCAGACGCTCCTTGGGTGTGTCACTGGCCCGATACACTCAAGTCCTCAGTGGCTGTCAGTTTGGTTTGGCTAAGGATCTACAGCTGTCCTCTTCTCAGTTGAGCTGCCTTCTATAAAAATGACACTCACGCTTCACTGAGAAGTTATATCACACAATCAAATCACTGATTGGACTAATTGAGGTGGGCACCAAAAGCCACTACCCAACTGCACACCCCTAGCCTCAGGGGTAATCTCCCCTTGAGATTACCTTCATGGTGCCCCAGAGCACCTATAGTGAGCACGATACGGCCATTCTCTACCACCTTCTTTTTTTTTTTTTTTGAGACAGAGTCTCATTCTGTCATCCAGGCTAGAGTGTTGTGGCATTAGCCTAGCTCACAGCAACTTCAAACTCCTAGGTTCCTAGGCAAGTGATCCTCCTGCCTCAGCCTCCCAAATAGCTAGGACTATAGGAACCTGCCATGACACCCAGCTAATTGTTCTTTCTTTTTCTTTTTTCCTAAGACAGAGTCTCAGTCACCCTGGGTAGAGTGCCATGGCATTGTAGCTCATAGCAACCTCAGACTCTTAGGCTCAAGTGATTCTCTGGCCTTAGCCTCCTGAGCAGCTAGGACTACAGGCACCTGCCACAACGATCAGCTAGTTTTTTTCCTATTTTTAGTAGAGATCTCACTCTTGCTCAGGCTGGTCTCCAACTAGTGAGCTCAAGCAATCCACTGCCTCAGCCTCCCAGAATGCTGGGATTACAGGCATGAGCCACCTTGCCCAGCCCTAAGACCACATTCTTACTGAACTTTATCTGCCCTATTGTGCTTTCCCCATTCTCTCAATCAGTTTTACAAGTGTCCCTATCTTAGGCCTGGCTTCTAGGGAATCCACCTACTCCCTAAGACTTCCTTTGCCCTACTCCAGCCACACTCCAGAAAAAGAGTTTATTCCCTAGACCTATGGACTAGGGAAACTGCTGACGCAGGAACCCAAGAAGGAAGGGAAAAGGTGATGGGCTGAAAATGGGGGTTATGTGGAATTCTACAACCTGAATTGATGGGAACTCAGTCTTTACCTGCTCTGGAAAGGCTAGAAGTTAGGTTATATACCCTGGCGGGAGATAGGATGATCTATTCTGGGAGGAGTTGAAGAACCCCAGAAAAAAAGACCTACAGATACCCCAGTACAAAGACTGGGTCCTTACATTACCCCATAGCGATAGCTTCAGCCAACAAATAGGTTGGAACCAAATGCATAGCTTCCAGTCAGACAGTTGGCTGTGGCTCCTGGTGTCCCAAGCTGTCTCACTGTGCCATTGCAATGTTGTCTCCAGGCAGAATGATCCAACTGGAGTTGGCTGGAGACACCTCCCCAGCTTTACCAAGAGCAGCTGATGAGGAGAAGTCCCTAGTCCACCATCTTGGAGCCTCCACCTAGACTCTTGGCTATGGACGAACAACCATAGGTCTGGAGAGAGAGAAGATGGAAATGTCTAACATATAAGAGAGAGACCAAAATAGCAATCAGGAAAAAAAAAAAA